TGCTCCTAATAGGAAGGGGTGTTATACCCTAAGGGAGGGCCAGACTAAGAGGGACCTCCTTGTATGGTAACAGGGTGTTTCTGGGACTTGTGGTTCTCCTTTTCAGTCATCTCCTTGCACCAGTATCAGTGTGATGCAGGATTGGACTTCCCCATCTTCTTAGCTCCTCTTTTTTTCCTCTTCTGCTTGCCCCAATATGATGGCCAGAAGGGAGTCTTGGGGTTCTCGTATTTTCCTCCTTTCTCCCATAGGGGCTCTTAACTGGACTACTACTCCTCTTCATGGGTCTTCTTTATGAACGTAATTCCACTCTCCGGGGGGGGGGATCTGGTTTTTCACTGGGGGAATCCTCAGCCAAGTAAGTTCTCGACCATTCCTCCTGAGCATTACCCCTCTCTCCTTCCTCTATTTTCTCTTCTTCTTGAGAGGGTTCTCTGAGATTCCCTCATTCTTCTCTTCCCTTCTCCACCAATTCACCTCTAGAGTTCCCTTCTGTCTCTCCCAAAGCAACTCCCTCTTCCTCCCCTTGACTTGTCCAAAATTCCTCCTCCTTCTCTCATTCCTCGTGGGTTCCTTTCCTTTCTGGTGCCTCCTATTTCTCCTTGCCTGTTGGCAGCAAGGCAGTCTTTATATCTGCTATGCTCCAGGGACAAAGTAATTCCTCCCTCTCTCTTCCTCTACCTAAGGCTGACACAACCACATAGGGCTCTGCCTGAGTCCTGATTTCCCAAGAACTACATGTGGTGTTGCCCTCCTGTTTCATTTGTTGCATACAAACCCTTGTGATTGGTTCACTGCAAGGTTGGTTGGGTCATGTGGATCCTCGGTTGGAGCTTGTCAGACTGCTGACAGAGGCATCCATGTCCCTGTCCTCCTCACAGTTGATTACTGAGAAACAAGCTTGGACAAATATCTTGGACACATAATTCATCACAAAAAATATAGTGTTTTGCAATATATCACTGAAGGGCAGGTGGGAGGGAGAGAGAAGACAGATTTCTTGGATGTGTAACATCAGAGGCTGGCTTTCCCCTAATAGAGAAAAACTAATTCACACAATGAGAGAAGGGTGGAAATATGTCATGATAGCAGCCAGCCCCAGCAACTGAGATGGAGCAGAGAGAGGGAGACTAAGACACCTTATGCCACCCTTATATATTCTGCATATGTAGAAAACTCTCCTGGGCAGCACTGGGTTCTTGGGGCTGCAGGAAGAAGGAGGGTAAAAGTTTGCCTCCCCCTCTGTTTGCCGAGACAGAGTCTTGACTGGGCAAGAGTCCCTTCCATGGATGGAAGGTGCATTTTTGTTTACAGAAAATGTTTCCTTGTTCAGTTGAAGCATTTACAGATACTGATAGCTGGTAGACTAAGTGTGTGGAGTCTCTCACACACACACCCCAAATCTAGGAGGCCGTCTGTCATGAACTGCCTATGCCTACGGCATAACATCTGTGTTTCTTTATTGTTTATTTGCAGGTTTATATCTGCTGACATACGTTTGAGCAATACAAGAGGGGGGTGTTACTGCTAAAGCACCCACTTCAAATTGTAATGACTGACCCCCTTTGTTAATCTGGATTTATGCCTTGAAAATGTTACAGAGGTTGGGTTTGCCAAAATATATGAGTGGGCACAAAGTTTATTATGGTCCTTTTTTGGGGTGTGTGTGTGGTGGTGGTGGGTTAAATAATTTGTTAGAAAGCATGTGTGCCCACCTTGAATTGAAAGCTACAGGGTTTGTGTGATTTTCCCCCAGATTTCATGCAAAGATCATTTCGGGTGAAATCTATCCCTCGGCAGGTGGCCAGCAAAAGGTCTGCGTATCAGGTGGTGCTTAAGCAGCGTGTGTAGCTTTTGGGCTGCTGCACAAGGCTGATCCATACTGTCTGCTCATGAATATGCTATGCTTATGGGCAAGTTGCCCAATTATTTGCCCAGTGAAAGATAAGAGCCCATCTCTGTAGGGTGTGGTGAAAAAGCAACAGGCAGGAAATGCTGCCAGCAGACATGACTGAGAATATGAGCTTCCTCCTTTTGGCCTTCAGTGAGTATTTCACAGGCCCTCCAGAAGCACCAAAAAGATGAATGGCACTCATTTCACGGGCCCTCTGCTAAATTGAGAGAAGAAAGGAGCAGCGCCATTCATCTTTTTGGTGCTTCTGGAATAAGTACCAAATAGTCATAATGCAAGTAGTCTTGGATAATTAAAAGGGGTATAAAATAGATGTTGGTATGATTCACCCAAAGCTTCGCTCAATTATTCATCTGGCCATTGAATAACAGGGGAGAGGAACAATCTTCTGGCCAACATCTCACAGCTCCTGGAATCTATTCGCATACACCCATATATTTATAGGATGTTATCTAGAAACAGCCACTTTGTAAACTTTCATATCCCATGTGCAAGATCCCACAATCACTTGGGTGTACACCAGCACTTTGGCTCTGTGGAAATATTCCTTTTCCAGGTTCAGCAAATGGGTTAACATGTCAATTTTCCTGACAGTTCTCTTATTGCAGAAGCAGCAGCTAAACTGGATAATCTGAGGAGAAAAATGGATGAGATTCACAGACAAAGCTGGCCCTACTATAAGGCTGAAAGAAATGGCTGTCTCAGGCAGCATATTTGAAATGTAATGGAAAGGCAGCAAATTCTTGGTTTTTTAATTTGTTTTCACTGCATTTTTACAGTTTTTTTCATCCTATAAGGTGGCTGGCTTTAAGGACTGTATAAGTCTTGTACTATGTTAGAGACTGACAAATTTGTTTATAGCATGAAATTTTGTGGGCTGTGAAATACATGGTCCATGTCCATAATAATTGTATTTTAATCATTTTATCTTTTATTCTATTTTAATTGAATTTTAATTGTTGTAAGCTGCCCAGAGACCTTTGGGTAGAGTGGACAGCATATAAGTTAAATAAATAAATAAATAAATAAATAAATTTATGTATAACATGGCTGGAGGTGCAGGGAGCACTTTTTGCTGTTCATTTCAAGCAACAAAATATCTTAGACCAGCCCAATTCATGGAATATTGTTGATAGTAAATGCTGAAGTTCCTTCAGTGCCAGATACTGAAGTGAGTTCTGTAGAATGAGGTCTGTAAGTACAGTGAGGCTTTTGAGGCTTCCTCAAGTAACTCTCTACACAGAGTTCTGTCCATGTGGCCTCACCTGCCACCAGGTAAGAATGGCATGGAAGAACAGGCCAGCTAGTTATGATACCTACTGGTATGGCTCTCAGGCACTCTCAATTGTGTGGCAGCATGTCTGTCATAGCTTTGAACATATGCAGCAGGAGTAAACAGTGACATCACAAAATTCTTGGTTTGTAAAAAATTGTTGGGACTCCTCCCCTGTTTAGACTTTTGCTAGACTGGATCTTCTTTCCAGTGTGGATTC